GTTACGGAAGTTCTCCGGGAGTGATGTGGACCTGCAGTCATGGTTGAGCTTCACCAGTTTTGTGTCTTCAGTGAGTGCTCTCCTTCTCTGGATGCTCACCTGAAATGTGATAGGCACTTCAGGAGGGGTGTGCTAAATTCTGCTCATTTCTTAGCTTTTGTAACAAGTGTAGCACACTTGAATAGCTGGGACTCTGCAGGATGGGCTGGAAAGCAGTGGTAAAGAGCTGCTCTGCTGCTTTCAGGGCCTATAAGGATCCTTGTCAGCAGAGAAAGTAACTTCCTGAAGTAGTTGGAGTGAAGCCAGGCTCTTGGTCCTTGTTGCTAACTCATGGGCTTGTAAGCCAGGCCAGTTCTTGTTGGTTTTTTGCATTTAAGGCATGCCTAGGCAGAGGAGTTATGGCACTAGGTACTGTACAGAAAGGTAGTCAGTAGGAGTCTGCTCAGAAATCCTATGGTCTACTTGGAGCAGGCAGGCAAAGACTGAGAGAAGGGAAAGGCTGTTCCTCCCTGACTTTATTAGCTGACCTGACTCCATGATAGGAAACCTCAGTTACTTAATGCTTAAAAGAACAGTGACTTCATCAAAGTCACAGGGCCTGATCCTCCATCCTGGTCTATGCTCTCACTCCAAGTGCCTACCTGCAAGGCTGTATGGAATCTCACCAGCCTCACATTGCTGTCCCAAGACCTACGGGGCTGGTGGAGCTTTCAGAGTGCCCACCTCCCTGTTCATGCTGTGCTTCTGCTGCCCTGAGCCTGCTGTTTAGTTTCAGTCCCACCCCTTTTCACCAAAAAAGAGCCTCTAACTCCCACTAGACATATACCTCTCCTATGCAGCCTTGCAGAAGATTGCAATAGCATAGGTTGTTCTTTCCAAGCCAGGGAGCTTTTATGAGTCAGCCAGAACGGGGTTATTTTGGTGTCCTGGGGCTGGAATGTAAATGCAAAGCCTGCACGCCTGCCAGCAGTGTCACCGGCCGGCCTGTCCCAAGCATCTGGGATTTCACCTGTGGCCCTGCACTGAGGGGCTGTGTGCTTTCCGCACTGTGCTGACAACTTCATTCTGTATTTCCAGTTGTGCTGCTTTCAGTATGGTTTCCCTTCCTTGGCCAGCAGTTGTTCCTCTCTGCTCCTTTTTTTTTTTTTTTTTTCCCCAGCATCTTTGAAATCTATGCATATGCTGATGATTTTGTGTCATTAATATCAATCTAGACAAGTCTGTGTGACCTTTCACTCCTGTGTCCGAAGGGAAGAATCGACCCTTGCAGTCAGTCACAGCACAGCACTGACTCATACATACTTTTCATAAAAATAATGCAGAAATTCCCCATAGTTTTTACAGATATTTTTTCAGGAGATGAAGTGTAAGTCTTCCATAGCAACACAGCTTGGGAAAATTATGAAGCATGTAACATCAGATAATTAATCTTTCTGACATATGATACACTTTTTTGCTGTTAATGTTGTCTGTTTATTTTTTTTTTTTTCTGTTTATGCATCTCGCTTGCTCAAACTCAGCCTATCTATTTGAGTTTCATTTGAGCTCATGAGCTCTCCAGTCTTACTCCCGCCCTTGTCTGTTCTCCAGCTCCAATGTAAACCTCCTGGGAGAGGGCTGGGGTTTGTCCCACCTCCGTGACTCCACAGTGATGAGCACAATAGGACCATACTTTCCCTTTTTTGCCCCAATTCTAGTAATACTTCCTGGTTTTTCCTGCGTGAGATAAAATACGCTGTGTTTGGATATGTAGCCCTGAAAACAAATGAAAAAATATCTCTAAAGTTCCTTAAAGAAAACTAACTGGAATCTGGAATGAGTCAAAGTCACTCCAGTGAAGACTAATGCTAAAACAAAGCAACCAACCACCCAAAAGTAATTGCAGGGAAGCTGTTTTCCACTGAGATATGGCTTTCATAAGAAAATATTGTTTCTTTACTTTCCTATATTTGATTATTTGTCACTTTGAAAAAAATTCCATTTATAATTAAAGTTAGGGCGAGCCCTCAAGGTCCCAGTACCTGAATATCTTAGGGGCTGGGGTTTTTGATCATGCTTGCTATAGTGGAGCCAACGTAAGATTTCTTAAAGTATAGGGGTGACTAAAAGCTTCTCCTAAATTATTATTTTTCTTTGAGGCAAAAGATGCATATTAAAAATCTTTAAAATAAATATAATGAAACAGCTGGACTACAAGGTTGTGAAAGGAGTGAATTTGACCCATTAACTTGGTAGCTTCTCTGCCATTAGGATCTCAAAACCCCTTTTCTCTCTCCTAGAAAAACCTGAATTTTAATCTTACACCCTACTTGACAGTGTTGTTTAAAGCCAGATATTTAACATTCTAAGACTTATCGTTATTTTCAGTTATAGAAGAAGGTGGAAACTGAGGTAATCTCAAGCCAGATCTTATATCTGGGTTGCTGTGATGTATTATTTTTGTTAATAGGGGTGCTTTGTGGTGTGCATCTTCTAATGACTGGCGTGATTTTTAGCATAAAGAAAACTTGTGCTGTTTGTAGTCTGACGAGCTGTTTGCTCTTCCTTCCAGTTAACTCCTTGGAGTTAGTGAGCATCCCCGGCTTAATGCAGGGGGAATCTGACATAGTTGTGTGGAAGCTCAAGTGTTTGTGGAAAGAGCTTCTAATCTTTGATCAACTGGAGTCTCCTTGTTACTGACTTTGATTACACAAGTGTACAACTTTAATTACAGCTTTTAATAAGCTTTCATTTCTTCCTAGTCACATTCTTTGTACAGTAGTGCAGCTTATCTTTTCCTTTCTCCTCTGCTCCCCTTCCCTCACCCCCCGTGCCTTTTTATGGAAGAAGGGGTTTGAGGTCATTACAGGGGATTCAGTGTCCGGAGAGACCCTGCTGTACGCGCTTTGCCCGTGGCTCTGCTCTTCACTCATTTAGACAGTCCAGAGTGCTCTGTCCTTTAGCTGCCCTGCAAAGGTCCCCATGCTGGCTGCTCCCCAGGAGCTGGTGGTCAGCACGTGGGGAACGGGGCTGTGAGGCACCACATTCACACCGACGTTCCCTGCTGCACCAAACTGCTCAACAGCCCTTAGGAAGTCTCTGTAGCCAAAGGATGTTCTGACTCCCATCTGCAATTCCTGTGGAGGACTGTCCCCCTTCTCTCCCTTGGGGACACTCTGAAATGCAGGGGCTGAAGTCAGAGTGGCAGAAAGCAGCAAGAAGCTGGTGGGCTCCAGCATCCAGCCACGGTGGTTGTTCCACATCCATGGACTTGGCATGCTGGATACCCTCTGCTCATTAGAGAAATGACCTGGTGGAAGCTTTGTGAGAGACTTATGGACTTGGAATTGTAAATAATTGAGATATGGTTTGAAACAAACATAAGGAAATGCTTTTTTTTTTCTCACATGAATCATATTTCAGCTGTGGAACTCATCGTCCCACAAGGTTTTAGGTATAAAAAAGATAGGTGGCTTGAAGAGTTAGTTGGATAAATTCATGGAAGAAAGATTCATCAAAGTCTCTTAAGTATAATATCCCTACCACTGGATAACCTGAGACTTGGGGAAGTTAAGTTCTGAACATCAGAAGTGGGAAGGGCGCTTCTCTCTGTATTTGCCCTGCTCCTGTGTTCTTCTCTGCTGTTGGCTCATGTCAGTGGGAGGATATTGGGCCCACACAGCCCAGGGGAAAAGAGTGTGGCTCCCATCGAGGTCATAAGGTGCAACTGAGGAGTGACTTAAAAGACATGAATCAGAACAAAGACACAGATGGCAAAACAGAGCGATTTGCACCGATTTGACATTCAGAGGTGTGCAAGAGGAGTATACTTTTAAAATGCCTGTTGTGCCTATGGAAGAGGGTAGCAGGGAAAACAACTAATAGAACAGGAAAGGGAGTCTCTTTTATCTCTGTGTGTGCATCCCTTCGGCTCCCTTGCTGTGCATGCTATACCCCTTTTGCACACTAATGAATATCAGAGTCAGAGCAAGTTATGCTGTACATCACTCTACTCCTATTTTCTAATGAACTTACCCCTAATGGGTAGCTTATTCATGTCACGACTGAATTTCACCTTGACAATAGATCAAGAATGAGGTTCAGCAGCGTGGCCCACCTACTTTGCAATGCTCCAGCGTGACAGCTGCTTTGTGTCCTCAGGGTAGCTCTACTTTGATGCTTTTCCCTGTTTAGAAAAATTTGGAGGGAGGATTTTGGTAATCTCCAGCAAGCAGAGTTTTTAAACCTTTCTCAAGGGAAGATGAAGATTCTACAGAATTTTTTGTACAAATAGTTATTTATGAAATAAATGACATTGTCTTTAGAACTGTTCCTCCCACTGGGCTCCAGAGGAAAGCAGCATTTTCTATGCTGGATCTTACCGGTCACTGTTGTAGCCTGCTGCTGTTGGTGCCTCAGGCTTGACTGTGGAAAACTCTGGAAGGGTTATGACAAAATATCTAGTCTGACCACTGCAGACACAGTCCTAGTTGTTAAGGGTTGTGTTTTCATGCCTCAGAAGTGCACAGCATGACTATGTCCTTTGCTGTTATGGGCTTTCTGACACCAGAAATGCTGGAGTGAAGTTCTCCTAAACTTGGCTGGCTTTCTGGTTGCTCAAAACGTACTGCAGGAGTTGCTGTAACATAGGATTGAAATGACTGGTTTGCCAAATTGGCTGGACAAACTGTGAGGGAAGAGAAAGAATAGACTGAGGTCACTGTGGTGTGTATGTTGCCTGACCCAGGGTCATGGGCCATTGGGGTTGCATCATTTGCTCATTCAGTAGCTATTCCACTACCGGAAAGATCCGTGTCCAGTTGCTGAGAGCCTGATCTTGTGGTGGCACTTTCTGCATGATCTGCTTCAGCAGCGTCTCGTGTCAGCAAGCTTTGCACACGTTGGGGGGCAAGTTTTTCTGCTTGTCCGTTTTTAAGCCAACCTTCTGCCCCCTTTTTTTCTCGACCTGTTGGAGGGGGCAGTGCAGCCTGTCTGACTCTCTGCCCCATCTCTTTTGGCAGACTCGGGGACCAGTTCTACAAAGAAGCCATCGAGCACTGTCGCAGCTACAACTCCCGGCTGTGTGCCGAGCGAAGCGTCCGCCTCCCCTTCCTGGATTCACAGACTGGGGTAGCTCAGAATAACTGCTACATCTGGATGGAGAAGAGGCACAGGGGACCAGGTTGGTAGCCTTGTGTCTGTGTGTGCACGTGCATGGATGGAGGGCTGGCCACTGAGCCCTCATGGGGTTTAATTAATAGGAGCTCTAACCTGCTACAGGCCACACAGAAGAGAAGCTGCCTGAACCTCTGTGCCTGCAGGGGATTTCCTTTGGTAACTGCAGAGAGCTCATCCTAATTATTCTCTCTCTACCCAGAGAAGTGCCTGACATGGTAGTTTCTAAGGCTGCATCGTTGTAGCTCTTTTAATGCTATTGATCCCAGTCTGTAGCAGAAGACACAATGCCCTGCTCTAAGCAGGACTGGAATTATCTTCAGGGTGGAGAGGTGGAGGTGGAAGTTTCTCAGATGAATGCTGAAAATGAGGAATCGTATTAGGAAGGATATAAAGCTGAGGTAAAATATAGGACAAGTTACTTTGATAGCAGTTCTAGACCCGCAGTTTCTCAGGTGCAGAAAGAAGTTGGTATGTGTCCTTAAAGAGTTTTGGCTAATGCCTGTGCCAAAGCCCAGTGAAACTCAAGGGAAAAGAGCACTATTATTTTTGTAGACTTTCGTCAGTCTTTCCTTCGTTAGGGTCATCCATCTGAAATCCTTGTTTGAAAGTCAAAGGACAGTTACCAGTTCAAACACTGGAGATGTTATTCAGACAGAACTCCTCCTGAACCCCAGTGGGAATTTTGTTGGAGTATGCCTCAGTATCTGACCCACCATTAGCTCAGGCAACAGATTTTTCAACAGCACCAAACTGGGTTTCTATTATTTTGAGGTTTTTTTTCAGTACAGACCAGAGAATCCAGGCAGGGAGGTGGGTAGGGTGCACGGGTACCAGAAGCACGACACGCACATGTGTGCATAAACACATCCCAGTTCCTGTAAACCATACTGAAAAATCCCACAAAACTCCAGATCTGGAATTATGGGAAGGTGCAGCCTGCTCTTACCCACTCCACTGGCCAGTTTGCAGGAGATGAAGTGGGGGGAACACGTAGGAAATTCCCCTGCCCTCCTGGGGGCAGACTAAGAAAGCAATTGCTGCCTCTGAAGGGCACTTAGCTGAAACTACCCCTCTCCCTTTCCAGAGGCTAGGATCCTTGCATTACTCCTGTTCCTAAAATATCCAAAGTAGATTTAGTATTTTCTTGCAGTACTATCAGAAAACTCACTGTATAGTAAAATGCAGCCACTTCTGGTGCAGGAGACAACAGGTGTTTTATCAGTGTTAAAAATACCCCGAGAATGTTTCAGGTGCCAAAACTACAGGGGTAATCTGGAGTCACTGAATGTGGTTTACAAGCTGGGAGTTGGCTGAGGTTCTGGGCTAACCCTTCCTTTGTAGGTTGCTTCATGACCACAGTTGGGTTTTTGTTTCAGCTGAAAATTCTCCATTCTTAAGAGATTAAGTGTTGGCAAAGCTAGCTTTCCTTTTTTATTTTTTTTTTTGTTTACCCAAGGAATTTCTATTCTTGTATCATCTGTTTATGAGCAAGGTGCTGCTATTTTTGTCATTTTGAATGCAATCATAAGCACGTATACATCCACTATCTCCACAAGTAATGTTTTGGCAAGAGCATTTTCTACAAAGATAGACATAGGTACTCTTCTTGTATGGGTCTCATTGCTGTCTCCGCACTTATGGAAGAAATCTTAGGGCATCACACTGGAACCAGGAGGTCTTAATGCTTTGCTGTTGTCAGCCACAAGCTCTCTGGGCTACCTTGAGCAAATTCACTGTGCAGATCTTTCTTTCCTCACCTTTGGTAGTGAACTGTTTGGCAGTTTACCCTGTAAAAGAGGGTCAGTGGCATTTCTCCTGCAGGGCTGAAGGCAGTACTAATGGTGGAACATTCTTCACGGAGAGTCTTAAGTGAAACAAGCCTCCTGCATCTGCATCGGCCACCAAGTCTGATGCCTTTGTTGTTCTGAATTAGAGTAATCAGTAGGAAATGAAGCAGCCCTCCTCCCCCATATTTGCTCTCCTCTTTCTTGATTTTTATTAGCCCATTTAGTGCTCCCTTGGGTCTCTTTGCATCATCTATTTCTTGTAGAATTATGGTGGGTCAAAGCATCCCTCTACAGTTTTAGCATGCCTATTTTCAGGCTGTACACAATGCACTTATGCCCATGCTGAAGGTCTCTAAAAATTCTCTGCCAACCACTCTGGTGTCTGTCTTGTGTGCTGTGTTCACTGCTGTTTACTATCCCTAACCTGAAAAACTCTACAAAGGCAAATGGCAAAGCTCCAGGACCTCTTTTCACTTACAGAGGGCTTGAAAAACAGAGAGGAGAGTCAGGATCTCAGCATATTAACCTGGTTTCTTGCCGTCCTCTTTGTTAAAGGAGTCAGAAAAATGCATCTCATGATAAACAGTTCAGGGTTAATTTCACACAATACTGCACATAACTCCCTCCTCCTTTTCCCCTCCTCCCCCAGCCTTTCACACAAGCTTTGAGTTATGGCTCTCCTACACTAATGAGATAAACAACATAACTCACTGCAGGTTCTGCTATTTCCTCTATAAGCAAATGGTTGGAACCTTCTCTGGTTGCCCTATAAGGCACCAGAGGGAGAGACAACCAAGACTGAAGACAGTAAGACCTGTATATGCATTATTTCCATATGTACTCCAAGATCAGCTGTGGAGGGGCTAGATTCAAAGTTCAGAACCGATCCTTTCCTTGTTGCCCCTCTTCTGTGTAAACCAAAGATCCACACTTTGTGTGAGCCAGTGCAGTGACATACAGGGTCAGGGTGAACTGACGGTAGCATTTTATGGGTTTGGATCAAGTGAAGGTCTGGTATATATTTTAAGTTCATTGGGTGGCTGTGTATTAATGAGCAAGGGTATTGTGAGTAGGAACAGAGACCTTACCTCAAGGGGTGCAGAGATAGATGTTGGATCATCCATCTCTTATTGATCTATCTGCTACTTGGAGTGGGCTGTAGGTCCTCTAGGGAAGAGGCTTTCCCACCTCTGTCTTTTCAAGGATACCTGCTTTGTTTCTTGTTGGGCTTTCAGCATTTGTATTTGCCTTTCACTGTCCTGGCTGAATCCAGAACTGCTAATTATAGAAGACTGCTCAATAATTGAACCCACGTTAACAGATACTCCCCCAAAACTGCAGTAGATCTTTGCTCCTCTCTGAGTGGGAGAGAAATGCTCAAAGCTGTGGTGCTTATTTCGTTCAGATGACTCCTCTGTTGAGGCCTATCCAATGGAGGGCTGATTCTCTGTCCTATTGCTTCGGTCTAGCAACTGCCATTTCAATGGTGTGAGCAAGTTCTTGCACAGGACCTGCTGTGAAAGGGTGAGGCTTCTTGCCTCCACCTCTTTAATGACTCACATCAGAGCCAGGCACAATCCACCTCACCATAATAGCAATTGTTTGCAGTGGCTAATGTTTGCAAAGTGCCATGAAGAAGTGTGTCCAAACACTGCAGAGGTGCTAGTTATTCACATTTTTATTCCCAAACCAGTCCCAAGTGCCCTGCTCTGAAAGGTATTCTTCTTAGGGTGGGCATAACGCCCAGCGAGCTGTGCAGCAATGAAAGAAGGGTGTGAAAAGCCCCAGTTTAGTAGCATTCTGTGCCCTGGAACAGCCAGGTTCCCTGTGAATACTCCAGTGCTCAGCCATACCCAGGCAGTGTGCTGCAGATGCTTTGTTTATGCACCAAGGCCTTGGAAGTAGGTGGAAAGTGCTGGGCTCTGAACTGTCATTCCCAGCAGTTGAAATATTTCATACCAGGAGCTTAGGCTTCACATGCAGATTTTGATTAGCTCACTCTCTTAAGGGGAATAATTTTATAGTGGTGGTTTTTTCTTTTAATTCCACACCCCAGCCCCTCTACCCCCCACCCAAAGTAACAGGATATTGTTTTTTTTTTCATAATCCTCATTTGGTTCAGTGAGTCAGTTTTGTTCCCCAGCTGGTACATTTTCCTGGCTGCTTCAGAAGGGATGGCTGAGAACTCGGGCCATCCTGCTGCCCTTGAGCTGTTCTGCTTTCCTGGCACTGCCTTGATGTTGTCCAGCTGTTCACTATCAGTGTAGTGTCCGAGATGGTAACACCACTCCTGCCCTTTGTCTTATGTGGCCTTACCTGTTTTCTGAGGCCAATGAGTCTGGAATTGCAGTTGTGCTCTGTACCCCCTTCAAGACCAACAGCAACAGCAGAACACCACAAGAGCCCAAGCAGAACTGGTGGATGGAGAGGGCAGGGGAATCAAGGGAGTGAATGACATTCTTCCAACTTTTCTGTGTCTTGCTGGGTATTTCTGTGTGTCGTGAGTATCTGGGGCAGTCGAGGATACTTTGAAGCACTTGGCAGTGTGCTTCTGTGCCCCTAGTAGCGATGCATTCACAAAGCCCTGCTGTGTTCTGAATACAGGAGAGCAAAGAATAGCTTGAACGTTGGCTACTGGGTGTCTGTCAGGAGAGCCAGGGCAGCTCAGAAGCCAGCGATACCCAACATGATTCAGCGGAGCATGCAGTAATATAAAGATTGCTCCTGTAACCCCTCCTTCATTCAGGATGTTGACATGAGGAGGTAATAATCAGAATGAAGAATATGTTTTCCAACAGATGTCCAGAATTTGAGAAAAAATACAGAGTCCAAATAGCCAGACCTCATGGATCTTGGTTTGCTCCCACTTGGAAGACACAAATTTCCTGAGATGCTCTGTGCATCAGGGCCTTATGATTTGCGTGTTGGAACTTCATCTCTTCTTCCCAAGGGGTCTTCTCTGCCTGTGGAGGAGGCATCACCCCTGTGACCCAGAAGAATCTGGAATTCTATTTACCCTGAAGAAATCACAAATTATTTATGTTCAGCTCTGGTTTCAGTGAGCTGAGTGAAGTCTGTAAGTGAGACCTAGATTCTCTGTAGGCCTGATCCCAAGAGGTGCTGAGGAGCCTCAGGAGCACTGGATGCCTGGAGTGCGTAATTCTGCCTCACTATTTGCAGAATTGAACCCTCCAACAAGGAGAGGCTGGAAGGGCAAGAACAAAGATGCTAGAGACAGTGCTTGTGGTTTACAAACTTAAATGTGATTACATTTATTTTTTTGCCTTTAATCTTCAGGCCTGGCCCCAGGTCAGCTCTACACGTACCCAGCACGTTGCTGGCGCAAAAAGAGGCGTTTGCATCCCCCTGAGGATTCCAGGCTGAAGCTGCTGGAAATTAAACCTGGTAAGTATTTGTTTGCCTCTCTCTCTCTCCTGTGCTGCAGAGCAGCTGGCATACATGCAAACCTGGCATTTAAACCTTGGACTTTATCTTTGCCCGTCTCCAACCATTTCTTTTTGCATCTGTTGCATCTTACTTGATTTGCTGTAACAATCACCACCAAACCCTCTGCACTCAGCTGTCCCTTACAGAAATGTGTACAACTTCTATTGAACGCAATGGGAGCTGAATTTACCTTCCACAGGGGTGAATCCTGGTCTCGATTAGTGAATTCATAAGGATGTAAAGCATCGATGTATTACTAATTATTGCCTCAGTGTGTTATTAATACGAAATCTCAGTCCGGCATCTGCTGCCTAATCTTTATGAAAAAGACTGCTCTGTGTGTGGAACAGGACACTGATAAGATTTTTTTATAATGAGGCTGGGGACCATGGGTGTGACAAGATTACAAACAGCAAATAATACAAATTAGGGAGCATATGCCCCATTTGTGTATGTACTGCAGTCCATTCTTCTTTCATTCTTGTGCTTCCCCCACAATTAAACTGTATGAAGTGATGAGTCTGGATGGTGACTGAGTGACAGTGAAATAGATTCTTGCTGTCTTTGGGGTCAGCTTTTATGAGAAAGAGGTAATATGTAGTCACAGCTGTATGTGGTTTTTCAGAGGCGAGACACTGCCAGTATAAAAAGTACAGGAGAAAACCCCAAAATGTAAATTAAGAATATTTAAAAAACCTGTTTGACAGAAGAAGTTGCCTGGGAACTGAGTTATGCCCAGCAGTACTGATGACTTTGCTTCTACATGGTAGCTGACGAAGAGACAGGAAGGGGCAATAGAGACAATCTCTAAACCCAATAAAATCAGAGGCAACATTCATGTTTATTTTGGCAGAAACAGTTTTTGAAGGTTCCCTACATTCAGTATAGGAGAAGTCAGCAGACAGTTGGACAAGAAGAAATGGCTGTAACCACTCAGTTGGGGTTCAACCCAAGGGCAAAATCTCAGCCAGCAATAGAACGAGACCTCACACCAGAGCCAGTCAGAAAGAACTGGTGAAATCAGATGGGTTACAATGGTGGAAATGAGACTGGACTCTAGGAAGAGGATGATGTTGGCCCATAGAAATGGCTGCCTTAGACTTTGTGATGATGCAAACATGCCTGTGCCTTGGTAATTTAGTAAGGTAAAGCATTTGTGTAGAGTTTGACTCTTCTTTATTTGCATTATGCCTCTTTGCTGAATGCCAAATTAGTGCATCCTACATGCCACAGGGCATGAAAGGCAATTACCACAAAGTTATCAGATAAAGAGACTTCAGCATGTCTGTCTCTGTGTTGTTTTCCCTGCTATAAACATCTCTTCTGCATCTCAGGAGTGCTACTTTTGTTGCATTGCCAGTGGCAGCCAAATAAGGCAATTTATATTGCTCTGCCATTTAAATCTATTTTCCAACCAATTTCTATCTAGTGATTAACTTTCCTTATCAGTTACATCACAAAATAATTTCACTCTGTCTGTGCATATCCAGAATTGACTCACGAGCCAAAAATGGGATTTTTCCCATCTCTGATTTAAAAGGATAAAACCTATGGAAAACATTGGATCTCCATTCAAAGGTAGCTTTGAAAATTTGAGAAAAAGATAGCATAATTTATTTGTAGCATGGACAGCAGAAATACTCTATGTTTTAAGGGGAACACTGTGGTAAAGCCTTGTGCTGAAGCTGGGAAGCTCCCTTATACTGACCTCTTTATTCCTTGGTTAAACAGTAGATGACTGTGTGGGGCAGGCAAAGATGTGGCAATGTAAGATGCCTCAAAAAGCACATAGATGACAACTGTAGGATGTCTAAAATAAATGTGGAAGAAATCTAATCTAAAAAATCCATCATTTCATGCCACCTAGGGCCTGGACATCCTAGTCATAGTTTAGAGGTTCTTAGCAGCTAGAGAGTGCTTGTGCTTGGTTTGGATGTGAGTAGCTGATTTTTCTATAGGAGGCAGTTGAATTGGTTGTATGTTGTATATAGCAAGCAATGCTCTTCTACAACATCAAATTAGGGCAAAGCCTTAGTTTTATTATGTTTTACATTTTCTAACTAACACAGAAGGTCATCTAAGCTCCACAAGCTGCCAATCCAGCAGTCAGTGGGGTCAGCACCAGGGGGTGCGAATACTTGCTTGGGCTACATCTAGGTTTTTGGGGTGGCTCATTATAGCCATAAGCTGTGTCCAGAAGTTCAAGAATTCTACATAATTCAGGAGACACATAGACCTAAGATTTTTGTTTCGGTAGCTGGTCAGCAGCTGGTCAGTAAGTAGGATCAAACCATTGTCTTGCTGGCAGTTGAAGGGTGTAATAAATCATGTAGTAATAATGTAGCATTTATAGTTACAGCCTCCTTTTGTGGTGTTGGTACCTTGCAGGTTTAGGTAGTGCATGACACAGCTCAGTCAGTGAGAGTTTCATATTTGGTAGTCCCAAAATCTAATGAAGAAAATAGTCATACTCCAACAGTCTCCTGTTTTTTGTAAAATGCAAGTGCACTATAGTGTTTTTCTTGGGGTCAGTTGCTGCTTGCTTCTTAATGGAACACGGTGCTTTTATTGTCCTGGCCTGTTGCTTTTATTTGGTTTCAAGTGGAAGTGTTTGGTTTTAAGAATAGTTACAGCCAAAGTTGTAAAGATCAGAACGCTGGAATAGATGTTGCTGATACAGCCTTTAGACGCCTGTTTTCCTCTGCCACTGTACTCAGTTACATGCATGGTTTGCCCTTGCAGAGTTGTTTGATCAAGGGTCTATCAACATTCATGTTAATACTATTTCTGAACATCCTCCATCTCACCCAGTAGCCTATCCAATAGATATGGGGTAGAAATAAAGCGTTGCCAAATCTCACTCACAGTAACTGCTCCAATGACAATACAGTCAGTATTTTTACCAGACTTTTAGGATTCACACTACGTATTTGTGACATTTACTTTCACATGGGCTGGTCTTCATCTTTCAGTGGTACATTCATACCACCACAATCAAGTGTTATGGCTCGAGTGCAGCCAAGTTTTCATTGTTGTAATGGATATGAGCTGTTAGACGAGTCATTATACTGTAGCAGTCAAGACTCCCATGACCAGCGGTATAGATCTGAAGCAAATCCCCAGTCATGGGTAATATATTGATGTGTTGCTAATTTTCTAAGTACAGATTGCTAAAGTTACCAGGTGTTGATACTCTCATAATATTAATTAACCTAGACTTCTGTTCAACCAAGTGTGGGCAATCCTGATTCTCTGCAGAACTGGGCAGTGGTATTTGCATGGCGCTTCAGTGGGGAGCTGGAGACTCGTGCTTCCATACTTACTCCTCAGCTGGCCATTCTTCTCCTGCCCAGGAGAAGAGCAAGAGCAGAGCCGAGCCGAGCTCCTGTGCACGGGAGGTCTGTGAGTCTGGGATGGGGGAGGAAGAGGGTTGGACTGGGCTGGGTAGCCTGTTCTTCCAGAGGAATGGGAGAAGAAAGAGAATTGCCAACTCTCCTACCACCCCCTGAGCTGCAGGTGCTATGAAAGCAAACACTAGGGTTCTGACCCTCAGTAATATCAGAGCAACTGGAAAAATGAGAGTTAGAAATGGAAGAGAGATTCCTGATTATACCCAAGGGCCCTTGAAATCTTAATTGCTCCGTGTCCTACACACGTAGTGGTTTTGTGGTACTGGGTGGTATCATGATTGTGCGTTGGGTCAGGTATCAACGTTGTGGAAATGGTATTACCTACAGTAAACCCTGCTGACAGTCAGGTATTACCCAAGCATTGCAGCTATGCAGATGACAACAGACAGGGTGCGTTCGGCCAAAAACTCCGGTGGAATTTAAACTGGTAGTGTCCTACTTCAGTTTTACAAGATGGCTAAATATAGGTATGTACATACATACACACACACAGAGCTTTTATTTCACATGCTATGTAAGTGTAAAGACTATGGATGGAAAGCTTTTGTCTCAAATCACTGCTGTCCTTTGGACTGAAAGTCAAGAGTGATGTCTCACAGTGGGCAGCCTTCCACTTGGAGGGTGTGGAGTGGGGTTTGTGTGTGCAGCTTCTCCGGTGACAATGAGCTGGTGTCCTGTGCCAGTGTCTGTCCTGTTACTTTTCCTTGGCGCAGTCAGTTCAGCTCATCTACATAAATGGCTTTTTTTTTTTTTTTTTAAACCAGCTGTTGAAGAGGTAAAAGTAAACAAAAGTATTTTTCATTTGATGGTAGAATTGTTTGAGGCAAGTACTGCTAACAGGTTTTTAGATGCCACTTAAACAATGCCTGATCTGTTTTTAATCTGACATATAGAATATACCTATGTGAGTGTGCTTGTGGATGAATGAACAGAATCCTTGCAGATAAGCTATTATCTCTTTCAACCATCTCAATTTACCTTGTAGAGACTGTGTCTGATTGTACAAGGTACTGTGCTTCTCCTGGGAAGCAGTGAGTGCCACCCAAACTCTTGTGGAAGATGCTCAGCATATCTCTGGAGGTCAGTGTTCTTTAAGATGGAGCACTTCACCAAGATAAAGTTAAGGTGAAATTAAAAAGCAAAAGACAGAATTAGCATTGGTATCATTTATATGATAGAATCTAGAGACTCAAGTAGCATGTTACATCATCGTGCTGGGGGTCGTTTTGAAGGCTTCTTATACTCTCTGCAATAGTTGTGTAATTACAAATATGTATATACAAACACATAGTCATATACATATATAGTATGTTTACATGTATATGTATGTATATATAGTACATAGAAGATTATATATACAAATATATATGTATTTGTATAGTCCAAATATACAAAATATAGTAAAGGAAGTGCTTTAGTTCCAAAATGGAGAAATGAGCAACAAAGACAGTAAAAACACTCCTATGAGGCTTTAACCAGAGGTTTGTGGTAGAGCTGGAAATTGAACCCAAGAACAGAGAAAGAGTTCAGTTCTCCTCAGTTCCATAT